TCCTTCAATAGATCTCATTGGACTCTGTCAGCTCCCGAGTAGGGAGGAGGTTAGGGATGCTGTCTTCGGGATTGATCCCAACAGCGTTTCTGGCCCAGATGGTTTCTCCTCTCACTTCTACCAGGTCTGCTGGGATTTAGTCGAGATTGACGTCGAGGAGGCAATGTTGGATATTTTCTCCGGTCACCGGATGCCGGATTCCTTCACGTCTACCTCTGTCGTCTTGATCCCCAAAAGACCCAACCCGAGCTCTTGGTCCGATTACAGGCCCATTAGCCTGTGTAACGTGACCAACAAGCTCATTTCGAAGATTCTTAACAGCCGCCTTTCACCCCTTCTCCCTTCCCTCATCTCTCCGAACCAGAGTGGCTTCGTCAAGGATCGGGTCATTAGTGATAACATCCTTCTGGCCCAGGAGATGATCCACGAAATCTCCCGTGTGGACTGGAAGCGGGCTCCGAATATCGCGCTGAAGCTAGACATGGCTAAGGCGTATGATAGGGTTGAGTGGCCGTTTCTTAGGGAGGCTCTGGCTAGGATGGGATTTCTGAGCGTTGGATCAGCTTTGTGAAGGCGTGTGTGGAGCACTGCACGTTCTCGGTCCTGGTTAATGGCAGCCCCACCAATTTCTTTCTCTCATCTAGAGGCCTTAGACAGGGCGACCCCCTTTCCTCTTCCCTCTTCGTTCTTGCGGCAGACTACCTCTATCGCTGCCTTGACGGCTTCATCCGCGACTCTCCTCATATGACCTATAGCACCCGTGGCTGTGGTCCTCCCATCTCTCACCTCTCTTATGCGGATGACATTATCATCTTCACCAGGAGGATGATGATGGACTGGTCGAGCTTATGCGCCTTCTGGAGCACTATGGCGCGGTCACCGGTCAGCTGGTCAGTGTGCAAAAGAGCACCTTCATCCTCTCACCTTCCACCGTTGACAGGTGGGCTCAGCGGGTCCACGACATTACTGGCTTTGCGCTTTGCGACCTTCCCATTACCTACCTTGGGGTCCCTTTATATAAAGGCAACCTCACGAGAGCGCTCTTTGCGGGCGTCAGGCAGAGGATGATTGACAGGATATCTGGTTGGTCAAATAGACATCTTTCTTTTGATGGTCGGCTTGCGCTGATCAAGAGCACTCTTAGCTCTCTTCCGATTCACTTGCTTATGGTCCTCGACCCCCCTAGGTCTACTCTTGACGAGATTGACTAGATTATGGCTCGTTATTTTTGGGGTTACGAGGACGGTTATGGAAGGGGGAGACGTACCCACTGGGTGAGTTGGGACTCTATCTGCCGCCCCCTCCCCGAGGGTGGCCTTGGCATCCGCCGCCTCAGGGACATTGTTACAGCTTTCTCCTACAAGCTGTGGTGGCGCTTTAGGGAGGGAAAGTCGCTTTGGGCTCAGTACCTTCGCGGAAAGTACTGTCCTAGACGTGCCAACCACCCTTGTTGGGTCACGGCTGTTGATCATGATAACAGACAGTGGCGGCGCCTCACTAGGGTCGGTAGGCGGTCCCAGGATCACATCTTCTGGGTTTTGGGCGATGGCGGGGTTAGTTTTTGGGATGAGTGGTGGGTAGGTGATAGGCCGTTGTCTAGGGATAGACAGGTGTCGCATTCCCCCTACCTGCTTGTGAGCGACCTTTGGACGGACGGGTCGTGGGATAGGGGGAAGCTAGATAGGGAGTTGGGCTCTGGGGCGGGTTTTAGCGAGCATTTATTAGATCAGATCCAGCAGATCCCTATCTCGGGGGACGGTTCGGATCGCATAAGGTGGAGACTTACATCATCGGGTGTGTTTTCTACTACCTCGGCTTAGGAGCAGATCAGGCTGAGAGATCGGCCTAATCTTCTTTTCGGGGCCATCTGGAGCGACCTTTTCACCTCTACCATTTCGGTGTTCCTTTGGCGCCTCCTCTTGCGCCGGATACCCGTGGATACTGTGTTACACGCGAGGGGGATCTCCTTCCCCTATCGGTGTGTGTGTTGTTCTGAGACTGGACGCAATGAGACCGAGACCTTTACCCACCTTTTTCTAGAGAGTGAGATTGTGAGGAGAGTGTGGGAGCATTTTGACACTTGGACACATATATCCCTACCCACCACAGACAGTTTCTTTGAGCTCCTGAGTTTTTTCTCACAGAGCACACACTTTAGACACGTGGGCTTCCTCATTCTTTGTCTGATCCTTTGGTCACCTGGACAGAGAGGAATAGTGCGAAGCATAGGGATATTACTTTTTTGCTTTCTCACATTGTTTTGCAGGTAGAGAGACACATCTCACTCCTTATAGCATTGGGCAGGCTCACGGCCCGTGACTGGACAGGTTGCACGCCGCCACACCGTTAAATGGTGGCTTCCCCACCGCCTGTTCGGCCCCCTCGGGCTAGAGCTGTTGTTTGGCTTCGACCTGACTCTCCGTGGGTCAAGCTGAACACTAATGGCTCCTTTGATCGTCACACTGGAGTTGCCGGAGGAGGAGGCTTGATCCGGGACCACAGCGACGCCCTCATCACCGCCTTCCACGCGCCCCTTCAGGCCTCCTCGAGCTAAGATGCAGAGATTCAGGCTTTACAGATCGGCCTTCAGATTGCTGTCCACCTCTCTAGCCACATTTGGATCGAGCTAGACGCTGCGGCTGTCCCCACCCTTTTGACCTCGGGCCACCAAGGCTCGTGGCAGATTCAGCACCCTCTTATGCGTATTAGAGCCCTACTCCGGTCTGTCCATCACAGGATCACGCACATTTTCCGTGAGGGGAACAGACCTGCCGACTAGCTTGCCAGCCTTGGCGCCACCATACCATACACACATACATTTCAGACCGACACTGCTCCACTCTGCCTACGCACGCTTGTTCGGATGGACCAACTTGGATATCCATCGTTTCGATTTTAGTAGATTAGGTTTTGCTCTCATTAGACTGGATCTTGCTTCCGGGCACCTGTTAGCCCGTGGACAGACTTTGAATTATTTTTTCCTTTTTGGTTTTCTTTTGTTGTTTTTGTTTTGTTTTGCTTCAGAGACTTTGTTCATTGTAGTTTGTTGACACTTTGGGCCCTAATTTTCGGGTCTTGATCTATGTACAGGTTGGGGATCCAGCCCAATCCCCCGCCCTTCCGGGGCGTTGTTTGTTTAAAAAAAAAAAAAAAAACCTAGCAGCATCAGACAACTAACCTAGCAGCAAGAAAGAACTAACCTAACAACAAAAGACAACTAACCTAGCAGCAAGAAAAAAATAACCTAACAACTTAAGACAACTAACCTAGCAACAAAACCCAACTAACCTAGCAGCTACAAATAACTAACATAGCAACAATAAACAACTAACCTAGTAACAAAACACAACTAACCTAGCAAGAAATAAATAACATAACAACAAAAGACAAATGGTCAACGGTCAACGCCGGAGTCAATGGTCAACGTCGGAAGTCAACGATTTTCGCCGAAAGTCAACACCGGAAGTCAACGGTCAACGCTGGAATCAACGGTCAATGGTCATAATAATATTTAAATAATTAAAAATAAAGAATTATTATTTAAATCAAGATCTAAATCTTGTGGCTAAGAATGAGTCTCACGTCCTCACTTTAAATAAGCGGATGCATTTGAACCAATATATATATATATATATATATATATATATATGTATGTATATATAATATAGGTATAGATAGATATAGATATAGATATAGATTACCGAGATTCATATACATTTACTTGATGTGCTGCAAGTTCGAATGCTTTGAAAAGTTCAACGAATATCAGGAAGCTATGGAGAAGCATCATGGTGAGAGTATCAATTCACTTCGATTAGATCAAGGTGGCGAATACCTCTTTGGAGTTTTTAGGACTTACTTGTCTGATTCTGAGATTGTATCCCAACTGTCTGCACCTGGCGCACCTCAACAGAACGATATGGCAGAACGGAGGAATAGACTTTTAAGGAGATGGTTCGGTCGATGATGACTTTTTAAGATCTCACTAGTTTGTTCTGAGGACTCGCCCTTGAAACAACAACATATATCTTGAACCTAGTTCCAACTAAGTCAGTTGTAACTACTCCGACTGAGTTGTGGCAAGGGCGCAAACGCATTCTATCACATATTCGAGTTTGGGGTAGTCCAGTACATGTGCTGGTGCAGGATGCTGATAAGTTGGGAAAGCGATCAGAGGTACAGTTGTTTTTAGGCTATCACAAGGGAATGAAGGATGGTTTATTTTATAGTCCCTAATTATCAGAAGGTGATCTTTAGCAATAACGCTAGATTCTTAGAGGAAGACTATATTCTAGATCACAAGCCTACTAGTAGACTTGTCTTAGAGGAGTTAAGGGGTGAGGTCGAGCGTCCAATACCGAGTGCACAAGTAGATACACCACATAATACTGCAACACGTGTCAATGAGGATGCACCTGTGCAAGTGATACCTCGTCGCAGTGGGAAGGTTTTTTAGATAGCCTGACAGGTTTATGTTCCTCAGAGAGTCTTCTAACTTAGTCTCAAGTGAACTAATACTTGGCTCTTGGACCTACGACGAGGCGCTCCAGGATAAGGATGCAGGATCATGGCAAAGAGCGATGATCGTTGAGATAGAGTCTATGGAATCCAATCAGGTATGAGATCTTGTAGAACCACTCAGTGAATTATGACCCATTGGATGTAAGTGGGTCTACAAGGGAAAGAGAGGATCGAGTGAGAAGTTTGAGATCTTCAAGGCTAAGCTTATTGCGAAAGGGTATACTAGAAAAAGGGTATCCAACTGTCTGAATTCTGGTCGGTTTCTAACAGTTTTGAACGGTTCAACCAGCTGTTACCAAATTTTTGACTAGTCGCTGGCAACCAGTTTATTCCAGCAAACTATACTGGTCAACTGACCGGTTCCCAGTCCAATCGGTCGGACTGGCCGATTCGGTCAAGTTTTTGATAAAAATTGAGTGTGTCTTAATATAGTAAAATACTTAAAAATTGGACCATAATTTTTTTTTTTCCCCCGAAGTGCCAAACACGGTGCTTCCTTACCTTGTCCTCGAATGTTAGGGCTTTTGTGGCAACTCTCTTCCTATATTAAGCTCTTGTATACTTAATGTTATGCATTGACTTGAGGAATATGATCTTTAATATCTGAGTTCAGTTAATTTTTTTTTTTCCTGAGATTCAGAGAGAGAATTGAGATAGAGTTTCAGTTAACTCTGGAAAAGGGGAGAAAATATGTTTTTTCACATAGTATTAGAGCGGAATATGCAGCTCCACCCTCGTCACTTTGGCCGTGATCTTCGGGACAAGCTTGTGGCGAAGCTCGTGAAAGATGTCGAGGGAACTTGCAGGTCATTAATTTTAACATGTGCATTTCGCCATTTTCTTTTTCTTTTTATTATTATTTTCTACAATAGCCCTTATGTTTTCCATTTTTTTTTTTCGGGGGTGGTTACAGTGGTCGCCATGGGTTCATTGTGGCCATAACTGGTATTGACAGTGTTGGGAAAGGGTTAATTCGTGATGGGACGGGTTTTGTTACCTTTCCAGTTAAGTATCAGTGTGTTGTATTTCGACCGTTTAAAGGGGAGATTCTGGAAGCGGTTGTTACAATGGTGAACAAGGTCAGACATTTTTATTTGTACTTCTTTTTCATAAATGCTTTTATTTGAGTACCTCATATGATTTACACCATTGCACTTGGAATTGTTGCAGATGGGATTTTTCGCTGAAGCAGGACCTGTCCAAATTTTCGTATCTAATCATGTTAGTGGTTTAATTTTGTGCTGTGATTTTCTTGTTGCATGTTTGTCTATCACTCTCTTAGGACAGAACCATGTTTGCTTGTAATTGCCATTGCAGAATAATAGTTTCATTTTTTCTAAACAACTCAGTTAAGTATAATTTGCCCATATAGCTGCTTGCTTGTGGAAGTGAAGTCAATTAGGAGATTTCAATATTTAAGAGTGAAACTAATTCTTGAGTGGTGTCTCCTGGTACAAAATTCTTGATATAGGAAGAAGATTTTCTATAAGCACATAGTTTATTATGAGACAACCGACCAGAGGAGGTAAAATTTCAGATAAATTTCTGTGTTTGTTCTATTTGCAGCATGCACTTGAAAATGGCTTTGCGGCAGAGTTACTAAGCTTTGTTTGATCACTCATTTGGGTCCTGAATTTGTATTAATAATATCTTTATAATGTGATAACATGATAGTTGACAAGTAGTGCAAGCTTCTTAATTGTATTTTTAGGATTAAATTTCCATTTTCATCCTTTTGTAGGGTAACTTTGATGATATAACATCACTTTGTTACAAATATGAGTTATATAGTAGGACATTATGAGTCTGTCTAGGGTACTTTGACCAGATACTTATACTTGCTCAGTCTGTCATTCTGCATCCCTATTCATATGAATCACTGTGTGACTTTTGTTTATTCATCAGGAAAAAAATAAGTTAGCATGAAACTCTTTCCTGTGCTTTACCTATTATTTCTGTTTCCAAGAGGTTCATCGTTTATAGTTTTCTCTCTCTCTTTTTTT